CTCCTCCTCTAGGGTTTTAGATGGGAGAGGAGTGATTGGGTTCATGGGCTTTGGCCCAGGTTGGCTTGGCCCACTCCTAAGACATTATTTATTTAACTAAATGCTACCATGATATTATAAACCATCCCGAAGCCGACACTAAAATGTTTCTTTTCAGGGTATTACAGGCAGGTTCCAGTTTGTTTTGGTTTCGAGTTGTTTTGTCGGATTTGAATATTTCCTTCGGGGATTTGACTTCTAGATGGTTTCTATGCGTATGGATACTGTTGTTATACTAATGTGAGTCAAGTTGGGATGAACTTGTACTCGGAATATGGTTTCTTTGTTGTTGCATGTGCAGGTGTTGCTTAAGGCCTCAGGAGAGTGTTGCCGGTGATAGATCGGAGTCGACCTGGGAGAAGTAGACGTCGAGGGATCAAGAGATCACGCGGGATACTAAAGGCTAGAGGATAATGCACGTGGTGATGAAGATTTCATAGGGTATACAAGTGGATTGTGTACATATGGAAAGAGGAGTCGAATTTGGAGGAGAGTCCGAATTCGGGAAGATTGAAAGAGATAAGGAAATGGATGAGTTGGATACTTGCAAGAGAGGATTTCCTACGTGGATAGGAGTCCTAAGTTGTGTTAGATTCGTGGGCTTTGCACAGCCTACCTCATGTATAAATAGAAAGGGAGGTTGTGGTCTCCCAGTATCAGTTTTAGTGAGATACAAGTTGAGAGAAAGTTAGGGTTTTAAGTTTAATTCGAGATCTTGGTGAGGAGTGCTATAGTTGCACTTCGTAAACACTAGTTGATGCAATAAAGTCGAAAAGTTCTAATCTACATTTCGAGTTTGTCATCTACCGGTGTTTCTGGGTCCCGACGGTCTAACCGCAGGCAGGGCGGTGGTCTGACCGGTGGGAGTGCAGCAATCTGATCGTAGGTGTGCACACGGTCTGACCGGCGAGAATACGGCAGTCTGACCGGCGGTGATTGAGCGGTTCGACCGGCGATAATCAACTTCGTTCGAGGTAATCTTTTATTCCGCAAAAGATTTTGGGTTTTTGGTTTTCCCTACCATTCACCCCCCTCTGGTAGGTTTGTCTGGCCTTGTTCGATCCTACAATATAGCATATCTACCACTCTATGATTCATCCAATGACTTGATTTTCTAGATATTGTTCTTCTTTTCATAGTTATTGCTACATCAGTTAAGTTTGATCTTATAAGTCGTAATTAGAATATCAATCTCTAGCCAGTTTATTGGTTGCCGATTTGGGTTTCATCGGGGTTTCAGCCGATCTTACCTGATTTGGTTATTTTGTTTACTTTAGGTTTACTTAATATGCTAAATTTGCCATTTATATCAAGATCTCACTGTAATTAAATATATTAAGCTTGTTATTAATCTGTTAATCTACTTTAACACTTGATTAATCCATGTTTAATGTATTTTGTCTATTTTGATATCTTAGTGGTATCGGAGTATTAGCCGATACATGTTAGATCTGCAACATCGGCTATGCTATCAACATATATAATCTTTATATTAAAGTACTCTTAGACCTAAGTGATTTATACTGTCTCGGCAATCTATCCGATCTATCCCAATCACTTAGTTTAAACATATTTTGATACATAGATTATATACTGTTGATATCTACAGCCGATTGACTATATCTAACATTCTTTTTGCTTTATATTTCATTGCTGATCTAATTCACGTTACATCGGCTAGGTTACAAACGACACGTCATCGGCATGTGGCCAATCGGCTATCGTTTATGGATTTAACTTTGTTTCTTTCTTTGTTTTTTGTTGGTTGCAGGATCAAACCAACTGGCACACCTTGAACCCAAAAGCAAGATTTAGGACCTGCACTAGAGTTAAGCAGATCTCTCAGGCCAGTGTGTGTTTTTGCATCAACAATACCATATTTTATTTTATTATATGAAAGTATTGACCATCAAATATTATGATTTAAGGACCGTCAACAACACCCCCACACTTAACCTTTGCTCGTCCCGAGTGAAGGCTATGGACTATACAATAGGATTATGACTTCCTTACTAATAATCATACAAACAAATTATTCAAAGCCATACTTGTACTTGTGGGTCTTTATAGTGTCTACCATGCGATCCCGTGCAATTGAGAAATGGAATAGTCTTGACTCAAGTCACCCTAACTTTTCATGAAGATCAACTTAGGGTTTTTTCAAGCAGCACAAAATTATAACTTTGCTTTACTTCTCAATTGATTCTCTCAATCACTTAAGATGTATGATTCCTCACAAAGGTATATGATTGTGCCTTTTCTTTTCCTACCATCTAATAAGGCTTATGTGGAGCTCAGGGTATGGAAAAGAGTAGAGCATTACTCGCATCACATATATTGCAAAGTCAAATAATTGATCTACAAAAATACAAGACATACTTTCTGGTCAAGAATGTGCATGTGTACGTGTATGGTAAATTTGTGCGTGGAAAAAGAAAAATACTACTACTAATAATAACTCCTTTTGTATACATCTTCCTCTATTTATTTTTCTTTTGAAATTTGAGAAAGTGCATGTCTATCTCTCTTTTTTTTTCTTTGCTTTCTTTTTTATCATCATGCTCCATTCTTGTATGAGCAAGACTTTTCTTTCTTTCTTTTTGCATAGCCATGCCTCTCTCTCTTTTTTAAGAACCTTGAAGGAAGAGGCATAAATGACATGGAGTATTTATTTTGTGGATAATGGATGAAATGAATGACAAATGATGAATGCTAACTTCCAGTGTAGAAATTTAGCATAAGTGCGTGTATGTGGAGTGTGCGTGATCTTGACCATGAATGTATGATAAGCATTTCACAAGGGTCACAAAACTTGACAACGCTCAATGTAATAACAAGCAGCATATGTAGCAAGCCAATCATGAATGATCAACCTATGGCTCTAGTGGGAATAAAAAAAATATCAATGATGAGTTTAGCATCGTTATGTTTTTTTTTATAAAATTCCCAAGTGTGCAACATGAAGAGCAGGATTTCTATCATTAGACTATATCTCATTCATCAATTACCTAGATGGCATGGGGTCCCTATTGGATATATCACCACAAGCAACAAGTAATGAGCTAAGAATAATAGGCTTGCATGTCATTTTCAGAGAGACCATAAACTCTAATTGTACCATCCCTAGCTTGAGTTTAATTATCTTCGATATGTTAGAATTGATAATCAAACTAAACTCAAGATAGAATGGATGTCCAAATGAATAATGTGCAAACTTGCGCTCTGTAAAAAACAGAGGACGATTCATGTTAGAGGTAGTTCAGCCGAACTGGAGGTTTGGTTGACCCCTTATTGGGTCTGACTGCGTCAATTTTCCTTGTGTGGTTTGTCATGGCTCATCACTTCTGGGGTGATCTTGCTTTGATTACGGCGTTGATGTGCAAGATCACCCCCACACTTCTCTTTGTACATGGGACTCTTTGTTGGACACAAAAAAGAAAAACAAAGACAAGAGTGAAGCAAAAATGACTCACTTGGTTGGAAGACTAAGGAGCCAAATTTATTTTATGTTATTTTATTTTTATTTTTTATCTTTTTTTTATTTTATGGCCACAATGGATATGGTGGGTATCGTAGCAGGATGGATATATGAGGCGAGGATACACAAGATGTTTGGGATTCTTACCAAATATATCTTACCAAGCTTAGAACCGAATCGAATGCAACAAGTTTTGCATTTGTTCTGTTTGGTTCCATGTGCATCTCTTTCCTATGAGGCCAAGGAGCGTGATATATGTGTTTGAACTTATTGTACACTGCTGTTGATTGTCATTTTATTCCCTACAAACGGTTAGTGGACAGTAAATACCCGAGAGACTATAAATAATTGAAAAGATTTTATCATAGCCTCAAGATTAGTTGTTCACATCCACGCTAAAGAGAAATTGTATTCAAAACTTAAGAAGCGTCGAGCCCAAAAGTTTGCCATTTATTTTTTTTTGAGAGACACTTCTTTTGTTCTTGAAAACATTTTTTTTTAATTTTTTTTGTTCACCAAATTTTTGTTTAAGCAAAATCTCATACAGGGCTGATGTAAAATTGCATGAACATAATCAAAAGATGGTGTGCTCCTCCTTTGCATGTTAGCAATTTACTGATTTGTTTCCCGGGCCCTGACTTACCTCCAATGAGAATTGAACTTGAGGACTCACCTGTCAGTTTGAAAACTTTCCTGTAGGGGTTAGTCCACAGAAGATATATATCCAATGTCGATGAACATATTAACTCTGATGGTTCATTAATCAATCTCAACTCCATGTCTAATTTGATTAAAGCAAACAATTTTAACCTAAGCACCATGCTTAATTTAAAAAGTCTATGGAAATACCCAAACCAGAGTATATGAAAATAGACAAGGTAAACATAATCATGTATGATCAAGCCATATTCACATGGTGATATTATTGAGTAAATGCTTGGTGAACCTTGTTTTATCTTTCGCATACCTGAGTGTACTTACCGCCAACATGATGGATATATTGGAATCTTTGGGGCAGTTGCATGGTCACATTTGATTGTAGATTTCTCCTCCATCTCGTTGCGGATTATAGCGGAGGAAGGCACCTCGACCATGCCAACTCAGGCGAGCGGTTTAGTCATGCACACACGTCGGGTGCAAGAACCTTTTGCCTTGAAGGTATGATCCGTTGGCACAATATTGTAGAGATGTAGGAAGCATCTCTTTTTTATTGGCAAATGTGCAACTGCGAACTGGAGCAAACGCCGCCTAGAAAAAGAAGAGGGCATCTCCTCTTGCTTGTATAAGTGTAGATGCTGCGGGAGCGAGAAGTTGTGCACCACTAGGAGTGGATGAAAGCTAAACCAAGGCGACACATAAGCTCAAGAGAGAGACTGGGTGTAGCTAGATACAGCCTGTAACACCCTAGAAATCTCCACAAGTCTGGGATGCCACTAAAGAACCCTATAAAAGTGCCAAAACAAAGAAATTTCAGCAGCATCTCTTTTTTAAAAACAATATAGCGGAAGCATCAATATATAGATTAAGGTTATGATACAACAACTGACTGACTTATAGGGATAGCCTCGAAAAAAAAAGTTAATCAATGGTCGATAACTCTATTATTTAATTAACCCATTATGTCTAAACACAAGTAATCTTATCAACATATTACAATAATCATGACTAAGTGAGATCATATTGTGCAACAGTGTAGCTAATCCCATCCCTTCATGCAAACATGTCACAACAAGTACCTGAAAAGACTATAAGGGGTGAGAATAAATCTCAGCAAGCAAACGGCTTTAACAACCTATTTAAACCACAGGTTTATTATATAGCTGATTAAATACCAAGTTATGATTCACATAAAGACAAGTTCAATATCCAAGGACTAAAACATCATGACATCACCAATCAAATCCATATATTCACAACTCCGAGAGAAGAAAACACTTCTCAAAGACATCTTCGATCGATAGTTTTCATAACATCCTGCAATATGTGCATATGCAATGCAATGGTATGTACTCCTGCCTTCGCACCCAACAAGGTGTGAAGCTGCATCGTATTACGACAATATACGATGATGTACCGGTACGGTCGCAACCATAGGTTCACAGCATAACTTCAAATGCAATGCAAGTGTGATGCAAATGCAGTATGAATTCCAGAGTATAACATCGAAACCACATTCCTTAGATGGAGACCAGTATAAGGTTATTATAACCAAGAGCATAAAGTATAACCATAAACAGTGCAATAACGATAAGCAATGATTCAGATAGGTAAAACCTTGCTACGACCTGTAATACTATCTTGATTATTGGTTATTGATATATAATTTTAAAGTGAAGGTAGGAAAATAACAGGTTAAAGCTGTAGCAAACCACCGCTACATTTACTTGCCTTTACCGATGACGAGATGAACTCTAGTTGCATTCCGAAGTGGTATCACCTGAATAAACACCGACTCAGCCTCAAACAACACACATATAATCATTCAAGAATCACACATTCACTTTCTATGCTGGGAACCCACCCCAAACAACATAAAGCAAATCACCGATAATCTTCCTATAAAAGCAGCATAGATTAACGATTCGATACCTCCAATTCTACATCACATAACATAGAAAAATATACCATTTCTGACATCTACAGAACAAGAGTTACAACTTTCATTTAGATAACAAAATTGAATTCTTCCATTTAGCTGGCCTAAAACATGGCACAAAACAGATAAGTGCATCTGCCCAGAAAACTATGCAACAAACATTCAAAAGAGCACTGACAACAAAATACAAGATAAAAGCTAACAATTTTTTTATGAGGTAGATCACAGCATATTCTACAACTTCTGTAAGTACAAGATTCTCTGATTCCATCATTAAGATCCTTTAAAATCCCTCTGAACCTCGACTACAGATAAATGCATCGACATTCAGACAGCCAACTTCAGAAATTGATACCTCCTAAACCACTTGATATAAAATCATGCCATCTGGTCAGAAGATAGATCTACACGTTATCTACAACTTTTGTATAGAGACTTTTCACAGGAAAACCCATTATGTTGGCCGGAAAAGCAGCCAAAACAGAACTGCGCAGGGGGCATATCAGCAAGAAAAACCTGGCTGAGGAATAAATCGGTGGATCCCAAACTTACTCACTTCCAACACTTGATCTAAACCCTAAAAGAAAACCAATACAGTGGGAAAGATCATGTATTTGATACCTAGGCCTCCTTGGGAAGCGGCAATCAAACCCCTCATTTCCTTCTTCACCTCGATTCCCTCCGCTTCCTTCTCTCCCTTTCTTCTCCTTCCCTTCTTCTTCTTCCCAGGTCTGCAGTAGGGCAGGCATGGGGGAGGTCGACCAGAGGGGGAGGTGGGCGCCCCAGGGTACCAAATGACGGCTAGGGGGAGGTGGGGGGGACCTCCTAGGGTCTTGGGGGTGTGGAGGGGGCAGCTGGGCCTTGGGCTGGCCGAAAGCTAGCCCAACTAGCGTATAACTATTGTTTTTCTTCTAATTGCAAACACCAAAAAAAAATGTAGGGAATTCCAATATATACTATACGCTATTCTTTTTTTTTCTAGGGCATTACACAGCATGTCAGCTCTCTTGCTCTCTTCCTCTTCTCCCATCTTTTTTTTCTTTTTTTTTCGTCTCTCTTTTCTCCTCTTTTTATCTTTTTTTATCTCTTTTTTTAGTAAGGTGGGACTAACACCAACTTTAAACCAAGATGGCCTTGATTGATGGAACTCGTCATCACAAGCTCGTCGGCCTTTCCCCCCACACTTGGACTTTTGTGTCGCAAGACATCAAAAACCAAGTGTGTGATGTCGGAGTCTCCTATAGAGTGTTCCCATACCGAGGATCGCCAAAGTGTAAAGTTGATGTAGCTAACCGTGTACTTAGGCATCGTCTGACCCTCATTCTTAATCTCAACCTGAAATGCTTAGCGACCAAGAATACCCGAAGATGTATACAATCCTAAACATAGGTTCTTGCTTTTATTAGAAAAGAAACTTACCGTAGTAATCTGGACTATCTCCTGGCAGTGCTTTGATTATGGTCTCAAGCTCGACCATAGGGACATCATGCTGCAAGATTAGTGCCACAAACAAATACAAGATTTGTAGTATTTATGATAAATATAAGCATCCAGAACCACACTTCTAAACATGTTAGAAATGAGGACCGTAAGGTGGTTGTGGTCCTCGCACAGAGAAACGTCACTAATCAGACAGGACTCTAGGAATTCCTTATGTGAGAATGAATCCTGGGGAATTTTGAAAGAAAAACTTTCATGTTCATTTGTGGAATGTTTTCTCTCATCCTCTAGAGTCAATGTCTCAAGCTTGTCTGTGGCCTGAAGATCCTCCTCCTCAAGAGATGCATCATGCAAGAACATAGTTGTTTCTTGATGATAAACAAGAACAATGTTCTGTAGGCTAGAAGGACAAGGCTTACGCTTGATCGACGATGATGAGAGTCGTTCAGTTTCATGAAGATGGACAATAGATTCGGAAGAAATGAATGAAAAAACAAACATCGCCTGCTCGAACGGCTCATACTTGGGATGAGGCTTCTTTTTGTTGAAATAATTCAGGGTGTTTCCATTATCTTCATAACGATTATCCCTGAATTGGAATGGAATTTCTGGAGGATGAATTTTTTTCTTCCTCCGGCTCCAGCACCTAGAATGAGGATTCGGCAGTTGAGTCGGGTTTCGACTCCACGTGCAGAGGTTTCTCACAGATAATCTAGACCTCCCGGATGGCTTCGCTTCGGCAGAAAGAATCGTTCTCTAAGATGAGATCTAAGAGTTCTCTTTGTTCTGCAGTTGTCTTGTGTGCGAACGATCCTCCAGCGGAAATATCGAGATTTGCAACAGACTCCTTGTCTAATCCATACTGAAAATGTTGTAACAACAAATGGTCAGGCAAAGACAAGTCTGGGCTAGACTAAGTTAACAATGACAACCTGGCCCAGGCTGCACTGAGAGATTCCTTCTTGTTCTATCGGAAAGAAATGATGTCTAATCGAAGATTAATTATACGAGTTAATGGAAAGAAAGCAAGGCAAAATTTGCACTTTAGCTCCTCCCATTGACCGTGGAATTTCTTGACAGACATAGTGTACCATTGCTTCACTTCATCTCTAAGAGAAAAAGGAAACAATTTTCACTTCAAAGTTTCATGTGCCATTCCTACGATCGATAGGCATGAACACACTAGCTCAAAGTCCCGAAGATGGAGGTATGGGCTTTCACTAATACCACCAGAGAAGGTTTGCTCTTGAATCATGGCTATAAAGCCAGGACTGATTTCGTAGCCTTATGAAAGGATTGGTTTTGAAGAACGAGATGGCTCACAAAGATCAGCCTGAGGAGCAGAAAGGTTTTGAATTGTGGGTTGCTCCATCAAGGAAAGGGATAAAAGAAGAAGAAATAAAAAAAGATACGAGGATGACCTAGACTCGGAAAAATTAGCAACCGTTCCCCGGCAACGACGCTAGAAATGCTTGTTGGTATTCCTTAAGACCATAGATAAATCTGCAAGCACACGGAATACCGCTGTAGTACTTCATCTTCGGGTGACCCCTAAAGGATATCGAACACAGGGAACGTGTGTAATCTACATAAATCTAAGACTATCTAAGGACAACAACTAATGGTAAGCAAGCTAGGCTAGGCTAGAGAGGACTTTCTAAGTGTTTTAGTTATCTAGACTGAGTTGAAGGTAATTTCCAATCTATTGCTTCAGGCACCGACCCCTGCTGGTCTGCCAGCGTGGTTCTGGCTATAGCTCTATGATGTATCTGAATGTGGAAGATTACTAGGACGCGATTCAGGGCTGTCACCACCTGTCGCCTACCTCTGACAAATCCATGGGATACACAACAAACAAAGGTAATATCTAAACTAGACACCACGTCTAAGTTATAATAAAATAAAGTCCACTATTGCTTGGTTTACTAACCTCTTGCAGAGAATGAGCAATAAATGGAGAAGAATCGGCATCAAAACCATCGATCAATCAATCGGACGATGCCGAGAAATAGACTTATAGAAAGATGGGCCATGAAACCATAATTGACACGATCAAATTGGACCAAAATTCATAAGTCTGGGTGAAGGAGAGCAAGAGGAGGCCACTGACCGAGTTTGGGCTGGGTTCGGCAGAACCAACCGAAGCACCATTGGATCCAGGTTTTGGATAGACGGTGTGGATGGCTTCCCTATGGCGGTTGGAGGATATTACCGACATTTCCAACCATCATTGTTCAGCTATAAAAGGCCTTCACTCCCTCCATTTCCAACACACCTCAAGCAAGCAAGCTTCTCATACTCTCTCAAGTTTAGTTTAGTGCTCTCAAGCTAGTGGAGTAAGAACAGAATAGTAGTCGGAGTCCGGAAGTCTTCGGAAGAGTTCGGGTATGGCTCTAGTTACTTTCCTTTGTTCTTTTGTAAGACTAGTATTTAATTTAGAATATTCTTCTGTATACGACTATGGAATTGTAATACTTTCCGATTATATAAATACCAGCTTTACACTATGTCCGAGATATTATGATTATACTGCTAGCTTATCTAGGAGATGCATTGGTACGGGTATAATGTTTGCATATGCAAATACTCTATGTCACGATGGTGATATTAGAGTAATATTTGGTAGTTTAGGCGTGGTGCTTAGATTACTGGGTATCATTATTTGGGGTTATATGCTGCGGATGAGATGTGGGCCGCTGATGGTGACAGCTCAGTGCGGGTATTCCTCCGCGCGTGTATAAAATCCTAAGTTCATTCCCTGGGGAGGGTACTCCTCCGTATTTAGCCCCGGTTGTATGGTCATGAGGGGCTGTCCAAAGGAACTCGGCAGTCAGGGGTGGCTTCTCGAACTACCAGGATGGCATCGGAAAGGGGGTATTAGCTAGTTAATCATATACTTAGGATGTATGTACACTATGTATACTAGAAGTATAGGAATAGATTCTTTTCAATACTCTTTCCACTTAGCTTAGAGATTTAATATAAGAGTGAGTAGCTTCCGGTCCTCATGGAAAGCTACACTCGTTGAGGTAGAAATCGAAGAGAGCGCCAAACTTCCAGGCACACTTGCAGAGCTTCCGCTCATTCTCTACCTATTCTCTAATGTACAAAAGATATAATAGAGCCTCTTGTATTTCACCTCAAAGTTGTGTGTGCTGGAATGAAGTGAGCTCCTCCTTTTATAGGCTCCAAATGAAGGTTACTGCTATGGGAAATACCCAAACTACCCTCCAACCATCATTGGGATGAAATCAGGAGCATCGACAAGGAAGATGGCGATCAACGGTGACAGACATGGATTAGCCAAACTGGTGGTTCGGTTGAAGCAAAAAAACCCACCTCCTGGACTCTCCTTTGGCCAATAGGTTGCTTAATGGGCTCCCAACATCCTGTACTATGAGTTTGCCCAATTCTAAGTGGTTTTGATTGACTTATGGAGCTTCCAATCCATGTAAACGCATCCTGATTGTCCGAAGGTGTACTTTGTCGCATGACGGGTATGACATATTTCACCAACAGTAGTGGAAATGATTAGTAATAAACCCTACCACTAAGTTGAATACCATATTTTATTTCATTATATGCAGGTGTTGATGATCAAATATGATGATTTAAGGACCGTCATCAATCTGCTATTTGTATATCTTGTCAGTTGCAGGATCAAACTGACTGCGATGCCCGCATATCACCAAGATTTGGAACTGCACTAGAGCTAAGCAGATCTCTCAGGCAGTTGTGTTCGTCGACTTAGTTCGCGCCAACACAGACTTGGCACCATTAGCAATACGTAATTTGTTGTGTTTTGTGGAATTTTTTAACAGTAGATATTTTTTTATCTGAAATAAATATTAAAGTGGTTGCTCCGGTCATTTTGATGTCAACAATAAAAATATTAATAAAAGAAAATTGCAATTAATTCAAGTGTCAAGCTATATTTTGGATCGCTATGCATTATACTCTTTGGATTTCTGCCAAAAGCTCATTGCTTTCTTTCTTTTTAGTTCCAACCCAACCCGCTACCTCCCTCTGCTTGGCCTATCTCTCTTTGAACCCACAAGTGTAGCTGTAGCCCAGCTCGTATAGCCAGCTATCATTTTCAACCCCTGGAAAACTGTCCCGTGTTCGTACGATACCAGAACCGATCCTCCCCATCAAATTCGGTCGAATCTTTCTCAATCTCCTAAAATTGGTTGAGGGTTTTGATGCACTCGATCTCCTCTTTCCGTTTTTATCAAAATTGGAGCGAATCTGCAAATCTCGGGATAAAAATGATGACTTTTAAATGGAGATTAAATCTAGTGATTAAAGGGAAATTGAAAGGGAAAATGATGGAGAATAGTTTGAGGGAGTAGTGCAGAATTGATT